TGAAAGCCTTCGACAATACATAGATAAGATTTTATTTATTTATTATTTATTTTTGTTTGCAAAGATTTTTAGCTCCCACTCCATTCAGGCAATTTTCTTCCCTTGTGTACACTGAATAAAATGAACTTTTAACATACGGAATGAAACAATGACAATTCAACAAATTAAGAGCAAAAAAAAAAAAAGTACAACATTTGAAAATACAGCAATCCATGGTCCTGCATCCTTGAGGCCAAATGAAACAGCTACATTTTTATGGATTTTCTATAAGTCAGGAGGGAAGTTGACACAAACATCTGACACAAACAGTTCCAGAAAAAGCACAATTAATCAGTCCCCGCAGATGGCAGTCTACAAGTGAAGGATGTTGCAGAAGACCTCTGTTTCTGATCTAATTGGCTAGGTAGATATTACTGGGGGAATTAACATATATCCTCTATTCATTGGTTGGATGTCACTCAGGCACATACATCAGTAAAAGATTTCTACTTTTTTCTGAACATGAGAAGAAAGAAGAAAGCGTAAAAGCAGATATAATCCATCTATGTAATAGGTGAATACAGTCGATACCCACTCAGCCTTATCAAAAGAGTATCTATCATTGCAACCAACAGCTACACAATCCATACAGCCATTGAAAAGGACAACTCTATCCTATGTCAGTGTTCTTATTCTAATAAAAATGTTTTATCTTTCTATAATGCCTGTTTTTATTCACTTGTTATTTTGTTTTAATTGTTGTACACTGCCCAGAGTCACTTTCTGTGAGACGGGCAGCTATATAAATCTGATGTATAAATAAATGAACAAATTTCTACCTTCTATTTGTGTTGCTTGTTGGGAATAATCCCTGCTATTCATAGTGTACACCAGATTTCATTGGATTGTACCCTGGAACTAGAAACATTTTGTAGAAGCTAGATTTATTTATTTTCTGGAAACATAGAAAGGAAAAAAATGCCTTTCCGGTGGTTTCATTGAACTTCCAACCAACTTCCAAACTACTGCTTGCATTTTGGAATCATCCATAGTAATTTAATTTTCTTCTCAAACTGTAAAATATGCTTGACTTGGAAACACAGAATCAACCTGTATTATGTAAAAGATGTAGTTCTATTTCATATCAATGTATACTTCACAAAGAAAAGGTATATTCATTTTCATCTGCCTAATCAAGTTGAGGTCAAGGGTGGTTGACCTCGAAGACACGGGACGAGACAACGTTACAGCCTCTTTATCTCCAGTGGGAATAAGTTGAAGAATTTATAAGCAGCAGTAAAACACGCACAATAATATGGTATTATTTGACTTTCAATTATCAAGTTAATTGGGATTTCTCTGACTCCTTCCCCAATTCTCTGGAGAGACTGAGGCTATAAGAAATATTATCGATAAAAATTTAAAGAGGCTTTAAATTTGCCATTTGACGCTCCCAGCTGGGGAAATAAGGAGGTTAGGCTGCATCAACTCACTGGCCAGACATTTATTCTAGAGTGCCTTGGCTTGCAACAGACACTTGACTCTGACATTTGAAGCTATTCTGTCATCTATGAGGGAGATGGAGAATTGTTTTTGGAAAGGAACATTTTCGTTTATGACTGTAATACTTTGCGTGTTGATATTAGTTTTGTTCCCCAAGAGCGTCTGCACGGTCCATTGTGCAAAGTACTCTAGTAATGAACCAAGTATTATTTTTCATAAATATTATCAGCCAGGGCAACTCATTATTGGTGGCATAATTTCTCAGTTCTTCATTATTTCTGAGGAGATCAAATTCTCAAGACATCCTTCTCAGGACATGTTTGTTGATTTCATGTGAGGAACTTAAATTTGTCAAAGTTGTGGTGTTGTATCTCTATTCTGATCTGGGGAAAAAAGTGCTACTCCATGTTAATTCTTGCTTGAGGGCAGTAGACAGTATTTGCCTTCCACAATACCTTTTTTTAACCATTTCAAAATGCCATGATATTTCATTCCGTGAGTATCAAGAGTTACAGCAGTAGCAGTTGTTCCACTAATAGTTGGAGTGCTGTAGTTGTTCAAACAGATCAAAAAATTATTATAGGTAACAGACACAGTGTGCACAGGAGAAAATGTAGTATATAACAGAAGTCATCATGCAGTAATTCAATCATAGAAGGACATCAGTGAATATACTTTCTGGTGTATAAAATGGTGTCATAAGTGGGCTTTCACAAACATTCATTGTGAGAAGAGTTGAACCTGCCCTTTTTAAAATTCCATGTTGCAACTAGTAGTTCAAAATAAAATGAAAACAAAAACTGGGAAATTTCAGTGGTAGAGAAAATATGGATAGAAGGAAGGAAGGAAGGAAGGAAGGAAGGAAGGAAGGAAGGAAGGAAGGAAGGAAGGAAGGAAGGAAGGAAGGTTGGTTTTATTTCTTGCTAATCACATTATATTCTATGTGTCATCTGGAGGTCATTATCCAGTTCTGTTCTTTATCTGAGTCCTGAATGGTTTCTAAGTTTGGCTTCTTTGTTTTTGCATTTTTCATTGATAGATAAATAGACAGATTCCATCTGTGTCTGTGTGTGTACCTGTGTGTGTGAGAGGGAGACAGGGAGAAAAAGTGAGAGAGTGTGGCTCAGAGAGAGAGAGAGAGAGAGACAAATATGTTTATGTGTGTGCAATTATGTGTATATATGTCATGATATCTGCTCCTATCATACACACAACCATGACTGTGTAGTCTTTTTTTATATGTATGGATTCACTTCTCACAGCTGCCCCAACCTATATTTTACTTTAGGATGAAGATAGGAAAGATATACAGGATTGAAAATGTGTATTTCTTCTGAAACAACTTAAATAAATGTGTCTTGTTTTCCAATGTCACCTCAGATTACTGACTCAGGCCTACCAACATGTCTTAGCCTTGGTGTTTGCTGTAAAAGAGATTAATGGAAACCACAAGATCTTAACCAATGTCACCCTAGGCTTCAATATCTATAACAATTATTTTAGTCCACGATATACCTGTGCAGCCACAATGGAACTGCTCTCTACAGCAAGCAGATTCATCCCTAACTATAAATGTGATCTCCAGAACAATGTGGTAGCTGTTATTGGGGGACCAAGCTCTAATGAATTCCTGGACATGTCAACCATCCTGAACAACTACAAAGTTGCACAAGTAAGTGTTGTTAAGGAAACAGGAAAGGTTTTTAAAACAGGTCCCCTGGATTTTTAGGGCTGCTGCTTTTATTTGTTTTGGACAATCAAAACTCACCAGCTAGAATAAAACAGTGAGTTGGGTCATCTTAACTGATGGATGGAACAGAGGTCATGATGGCCCAATAGAATGACTACAGAACTAAAAAGCTGAGGGTCATATGCTTTGAAACTAACTCTTTTGCTTCTTCATTTACTTTAGTTTGCATACAGCTCTGCCCCAGAGATGGATTCTCAAACCCAAGCTGTTTTCTTCCACTGGATGTTCCCAAATGCAATTCATCAGTACAGGGGGATCCTGCATCTCCTGCTTCATTTTGGATGGACCTGGATTGGGGTGTTCTATATTGATATTGGCAATGCAAGAGAGGTTCTTTTAAGGACCGTGATTCCTATGCTTTCCAAGAGTGGCATCTGCTTCGATTTCATAAGAAATTTGGTTGGTGGGATGCTCAGTGACGTTGATCAAGTAGAGGAAGCAGCTTGTGAAACATTAAGTTTTGCCTTGACTCGTACAACCAATACTGTCATCTTTCATGGAGAATTTCAGAGTATGTTAACTTTAAGGTTTTTCCTCAAGGTTTCTGAACTTGAGGACATGCCTGAATATTCCAAAGTTTGGATTATGACAGCAGATGTTGATTTCACATCTCTTCCCTTGCAGAGAAATTGGGATTTAAGCTTCATTCATGGATCTTTATCCTTGGCAATTACTTCAAAGTATATTTCTGGATTTCATCAATTTCTTCAAGTGAGAAATCCTGCTCTGGAGGCAGAAGATGGTTTCCTAAGAGAAATCTGGCAACAGGTATTTAGTTGCTCCTTCCCTGATTTATCCAGTGATGTGATGGATGGGAACCTCTGCACTGGGAAGGAGCAACTAGGGACGCTCCCTATGACTGTGTTTGAAATGAGGATGACGGCTCACAGTTACAGTGTCTACACTGCTGTCTATGCCATTGCACGTGCTTTGCATGCCTTGCACTCTTCTATGGACAATCAAGGATCAGTTAGAAATAGGAGACAGAAGCTTCATCAACAGTCATGGAAGGTAAAGCTCAGAGCAGACTAGCGTAAATTATCATACTTGAGATATGTTGCTAATAGTATTTTCTTAGAGAGAACATGATGAGATCTGAGCACTTTCTGATGTGACGGTGGGAAGTTACTGAACAAATGCACTAACCATATGGTCAAGATAAAGTCTTCTTCGATCTGAAACTCGTTCTTGGTGCCTTTTACTTATGTCCATGTAAATTTCCTGGTCATAGTATGATCAGTTATGAATGTATGAAGACAGAAACTTAATCAACAGTCTTGGAAAGTAAAACTCAGAGTATACTAGTGCAAGACCACTGACCATATGTGGTCTCTGCTATATTTTCTTAGCCATAACTCAGTTAGATCAGAGTAGTTTGTGTGCTGCGATGGAGGATTGCTGCTGACTGTTTGCTCCAAACTTAAAGTCAAGAGTGAGATGACCCCCAACTCCCCACTCTAAAGTGATAACCTGCAATATCCTGGTGATCTTCTATCCAGTACTAACTAGATCCAACGTGTGTGTGTGTGTGTGTGTGTGTGTGAGACAGAGAGAGAGAGAGAGAGAGAGAGAGTTATACTATATTATGCTCTATCTGTGCGTTTAGGCAAGTTTAGTTATGCTTCTAAAAATTAGGTGGGAATATCCTTGAGAGACAGGAGGAGGAAGAGCTACAGCTCTCTCTCTTTTCAGCTTCCCAATCTAGCTTTTAGCTCTTATATCCCCTTTTTGGCTCCCATCAAAATATTAAGAAGAATGGACCCTGCTGAAGCAAAATATTAGATGAGATGAAAATAAATTCCTACAGACTTCCAAACCAAATGCTTCTTTCCTAAGTAATGTGAAGGGAAATTCACTGATCATTAAACAATTTGGGAACCTCAAAGTAAACCTCAAGTATAATTTGAATCAATCCAATTTACATTTGCAAGTTTTCAGTTATGAAGTTTCCCTTATGAGGCATTCAATAAGTCACATCTTTTTAGAAGCCGGTGGCTTGATTTCTGAACATCAGTGTTTTGAGGTCAATCAATCAATCAATGTGTCTCAGAAATTCCAATCTGAAATTTAATGTTTAAATCCATAAAACATTTTTAAAATAAGCCAGACTATTCCTAAGAGACCTCGCTTCTTCATGTCTAATATTTCCTTTTCCTTGAAGTAAGTTAATAGGTCATTCTATGCACTTTCCCCTCTGCTTCATGTATTAAATCCTCAACATTTCCCCTATTTTTCTTCTATAGTCTTATAAATAATGTACACAATCACCAATAATAATTCATTTATGTCAGTAAAATTAAAAACCTTTATTTTCATAATTATCCCACATAAAAACAATAAACAATTGTATATTGGAATACAACTATATTTTTTATTTCTTTGTCCTGTTTCTTCATTCTCACATTTAGATCCACCACTTTATTAGAAGCATATCATTTAATGACAGCACTGGAGAGACAATTTCTTTTGACCATAATGAAGAATTAGTCACTCAATTTGATATTATCAACTGGGTCACATTCTCAAATGAGTCTTTTCTTAGGGTCAAGATTGGAAGGATAGAGCCAGAGGGATCTTCAGACCAACGGTTGACACTTTTCGAAAAGAACATTGTCTGGCCTACTCGGTTTAACCAGGTAAAATCTATGTCATTTCAATAAATAGCCATTTATAAAGACCTTCAGGGTTAAGTTCTTGGAATTGCATAGTTGTCATTCAGCTAAATTTAAAAAAAAAATGTTTTTAAGGTTGGTTTATTAGGGCCTTCGTCCCATCTCCAAAATAATCTGACTTTTTTCTCTTAAAACTCAAATTGCTTGTTTTCTTGTTAGAATTCATTCTCAACACTAAGAACATTCCAATCCCTCCTACAGTGTCTTGGACAGAAAAAGCTATTTATTTATTGGCTTATTTAAATTTATTTAAATTTATTGACCACCCAACTCCTGCCATCACTAAACAGCTGTTGATTTTTGTTTGCTTATGAATATAGTCCAAAGGGCTTGACATCTTTTCCCTCGACCCTTTTCTCTTAGTTCATTGTGGCCTCTCACTCATTAGTATGATTTAAGAATTTACAAGAAAGAAAGATGGGGTATGATTCTCTCTACAAATTATCTTTGAAATGAAAAATTCATCTTTCATTCCCTGAAAGTAATCTCAATATTAATGTGGATTCTAAAAAATAGGGTTTTTTTATATAGCCCTCATTCTCAACGAGATAGATATTGGTTCCTCTACTGTCCAACCCCATTGGAAATATATAAGTTGTATCTCTTGAGGGCAATGACAAGTGGTGGGTCAACCTGTCTCTGGCCTACTTCCTCTGAGCAAACCTAGGAATCTTCCTTAACATCGTGAACATTGACTGAGCCCTTTTCTGATTTTCTGCACATGACGTCCAATGCTTCTTCCATCATTGTTCAGACACAGCCTCTTTCACTGTGTAATGAGAAATGCCGTTCAGGTTACAGAAAGAGCAAGAAAGAAGGAG